GAGAGGTGAGGGTCAACTAATGACCGACACACTATATCAGTTTGTATAAAACATGGTGTGAAACACAGTATGTGACACACACGGGAATGTGAATGGAGTAAAAAGTGACTCAGTAGCAGTAACGGCTTAAGGATTCCTCCTTGATTGGATTGTCTATTCAGTGATGAGCCGCTGAGAGCGGCAATAAAATCTCTCTGTGCTGCAGCAGTGCCTTCAATACCCTGAAGGGGCTTCCTTTCAAACATGACCTATTTTTAACTCTCCCAACACAGGATTGGCTGAGCCTTCTGCTCTGTAGCCTATGTGAGTGTGACTGCAAGAGAATGAGAGGGAGAGTGATGCAGTAGAAACAGTGCTAATGATTTATAACACTCCTAATCATTTTGTTTTAGTGCTGCCATATGGGCCTCTTGGTGCCAATGCAATTATATAAACGCGAACCTTTTGTGACGGTTAATCATCGATGGATGTATTTGCAGCAGCGGTGAAGAGTCAGTGTGGTGCAGCACTGCAGGCAGCGTCAACATGCATAAAGAATTTACCGTGACATTTGCAGAGGCTAGCCAGGATGAGATGAAGAGAGGAAGGCAGGGAGGAAAGCAATTCAGTGAGGGTCACCGTTGAAATGGAAAACTGACTCTTTCATCTTTAGTTCCCGTTCACATTTGCATTCCTGCAGTATGATGAGCCCTGAAGGCATTCTCTCATATGTATGTGCATTGACCCAGTTAGTGAGGAAAATCTAAAAAGGTAAATTTTCTTGCACTGGAAACGGGTCAGACTATTCTACTACTATTCTTGCTGACTTTTCCTTTACACTTATCGTAGAAAAATAAAAGTTTCAACTCTCTTGTTAGTGTCTTGTGTCAGCCAAAAGAATGCTTGAAGTACCATTCTAACTTCAGCTTGTCCCAACCTCTGTTGTCCATCGTCTCTAGGTTTGCTCAGGTCTGTGAGCAGGGCAGTGGATTTGATCATGGCTCATTTTGGCAGCAGCAGAGACCCTGAAGAAAAGGTATGAATTGGCAGAGCTAAGCACCTTGAGCTACAGTGTGTGTCACAATGGAAAAGTGCCAAACTGATATTACTTACATTCTAGGCCTGGAGTCAAATAACTTGTGTCAGCAGGAAATATACTGTATTATATTTATCTCCCTGTGGCACAGATGCGACTGGGTAACAGCTCCTGCAGTCCCACAATTGCCGGCCTGGTCCTGGAACATTTGTGTCCAACGATCCAGAATATTTTAGAAGACGGGCTTCGGGATCACAAACTGGATCTCATCATCGGGCAGCGCCGCAACCACTGCTGGACTTTGGTGGAAGTCTCGACTAGGATCGGTAAATTCAACTATAAGATAATTGAGTGATTCAATCTTTAATGCACTTTTGGATCAGTTTTCCAAGCAGGCTTTGTCTCAATGGACAGGTGGGACAGTGTTGTTTGTAGTACACTGTTTGCTGTGGGCTCTTTGATGGAGTGTCTTTGATGTCTGTCCAACCCCACGACAGGTCCGTCCACAAGGGTCCTCCACAGCCTGGTGACAAAAATCAGACAGTGTCCCCAGCTCACTAGCCACTGCATGAGACTGAGGGCTTTCATAATGGGCCTGCTTAAGTATGTACCAAAGTGATCTTTGTCTTTGGTGATATTAATGATGCTGAAGAATAGTAATGTCTTTGATGTCTGTACATAAACACCTTTGTATCTTTTTGATGGTTATTTGCTCTTTCAGCTTGAGAGCTTTGGAATTCTGGCTCAGTCACCTTCAGAGTCAGAAAGGTGAGTGCACCAAGTTTAATTTGTTTTTGCCACGCTAACTTTGGGCTCCGGGGAGGTAATGTTGGTCCACACTGAAATATCTCAGTGACTATTAACTATTCATGTTCCCCACAGGGTGAGGTGTACTTTGGCTAAGTTTATGCGCTCTGTGTTTAGTGCTAATTAGCAAACGTTAGCATGCAAATTCTAAACTGAGATAATGAAATCAACATGTTTAATTTGACAATATGTATATATACGTATATATGTATGTATATATTTTTTTGCGGGGGCGGGTTGAAAGCTCTGAAAAAGTCGGTCTTCAGTCAAGAATTAAATTTTAGAATCAATGTGTTAACATTGTGACCTTGTGCATGCTGACATTAGCATTTAGCCCAAGTACATACAGAGCCGAATAATAAATAAGAGTCTTGTTAAATACTTGTTAAAGCAAATCATTACATATGTTTAGATCTATGTGTGTTCACACCCTTTACTGTCTCCACAGGTGTGGTAACAACATACTACCATTCTTGGGGGTTCCTGTCGATGTCACTGGGGCGGTGTCAGCCCTTGTTTCAGGAGCTGCTGCTTCTGCTGCAGCCGCTCTCTGTGTTGCCCTTTGACCTCAACTTGCTCCTTGAGCCTCGACTGTTACGGGACAGGCAGCTGTGTCCTGAGGAGCAACGCGTCTCTCCCCCTCCGCCATGCTCAGCCCTCCTAGTGACCAGCTGGCCACTACTGCAAGCCGACAGAAAGGTGGACAGCAGCCACAGCAGCCAGCAAACTAAGATTTCACACCAGATAGGTCTGCGTTACCAAGAGTCACTCAGTCCTCTGAATTCAAGTTGCATCAAGCAGCAGTATGGAGGGATGCAGAGTAACAGGAGTCCATTGTTAGCTCCTATTCCAGAGTGGTGGCCAAAAGAGCCTGACCTTATGGATGGTGTAGTTGAAGGGGAGGACTGTAGCCAGAATTATGCAGACACTTGGTCTCAGATAAGTATGGACAGCAGACAAGAAGAGAGGAGAAGAGATAAAGACACTGGGACCCCAAATGTGTCAATCTGTGTCCAGGCGGAGAGCCCTGGTCAGGGTGGGCTGCGCTGGGCTAAACTATTTGGAGCAGCTGATACTTCCACCAGAGCAGAAACAGTTTCTCTGAGTCACACTGGAGCACAAACCAGAAGGTAAGAACCAGCCATGTGCAATGAAAACAAGCACAGCTTTTGTTATTTTGATGTTCACAGTAATTTAACCTCTGTTTCTCCTTAATCTTGGTCTGCTTGTTTCTGCTTTTTCTTCTTCATCAAGATTAATGAGAGAGTGACAATGTAACTCTGCACTAATGACCAGTATCTCTTTATGACTGGTTTCAGGCGACCATCACAGTGGCTTCATTTGGATAAATCGCAGCTTGGACTCTTGGCTCAGTCCATAAAGTCAATGAAGCTAGTAGGAGCACAGACTGACAAAAACAAGGACTACTGAAGACTACACCCTCTGTGGGTGGAGGACAGAGCCCATGTACTGTAATAATAAAAAAGTCTTAACTGCATGATAATACACGGTGTTCAATCACACTGCTGAACTGATCAAAAAGCACATAAAATACAAGATTAACAGTTTTGGCAATGGCCCAGATTCATCAAGCTTAGCGTTGCACCAGCTATTCATAAATCCATTACTAAGTTCGCGAGTCCTTAAGTTCTTATAAAACTATCAGCTAGTTTCAAACTAAATCACTAATCAGGTTGCACCATTAACAGAAATGTCTCTTGACTACAGTAAAAACCTTAATGTGTAAGAAAACACCTGTCAAAAGCATTCAACTAAAAGATATATTGCCAAAGCATATATTAAACTTTAATTCTAATCCTCTGTAAATGATAGTTTTGCTTTATTTTTTATTTTTTAAGATCTTCATTCAGAGAAAGATGTTTCAGAATATCTGACCGTGCTAATCTAACAGAGGTTATTTAGCTAGTCATTTAGTTTGACATGAGCATAAGCATGAACTATGTTCAGTTATTTCTGTGGAGATTACATCATTATTAAACAAAATTTTGATCCAGTGTTATGTCAGGTATGTCCATCAAATTTTATATCACCTGTGTGGTGCAACCTGTTTTAATTTAGCGATGTGTAAATCTCTACTTCGTTTACACTTAGCCTTCGTTATAAACTGTTTACTTTGAACTGTTGGTGCAACTGGCTCCTGGTTTTAAAATGTCTCTCAGTTGTTGTTTTACCCATGTACTTTTTTTATTTGTGCTCATGTTAGTTGTGAAATGAGGCTTCATGAAGACTACCAGAGGCAGCTGGATTATTTCCACAGAGCTCTCTCCAGGAAATAGCTTGATGAATTACGACCAATGCCCCTTTTTGCAATCGCACTCTGGAATAACTGTAAGTAGGGGCTTCTGTTACTCCCCTTTGTATTTCTTGTAGGCGAATATCAATCATAAAATGTGAATATTGACCTGCTGTAGACTGTTGGACATTCACGTGGTGCAAAATGATCCATTTCTCATATGTCACTGTCAGTTTCTTCTTAGCTCTATCCTTCATCTCATTGATAGGTGAAAAAAAGAAAAGTCAAGCAATACACTGTTACTAGTGCCAAATATGCCACACACACCAGCCTCTTATAGTGCATTGTCAGTGATGATTTTATTTCCAGTAACTTGCCTTTTTGAGCAAATTCCTAGCATGGATTTACTGTAGGTGCATGAATGAACAAACAGTATATACAGTATAGGTGCTCCAGTCTTTATTAGATCTCTCTTCCTGTTAATGTTTTTATAGCTGTAGGGTAAGCTTGTGGACATTTTCTTGCACTGGAGTTTTAAATGTGTGGAAATGTATGGTTATACTGAGTAGTATGTCTTCCAGTGACGTTTGTTCAGTTGCACAAATATAAGCCATCTTGTGGCTGTTTCAGGTATTTAAATGTGTGTAAGGTATATTTTGATAGACTGGTAGTTTGATAAACAGGAGGAAAGAATAGAAAATATGTTGTTGAGTGGAGGATTTTTTTAATGTACTACAATAATGTGAAGTCTGTGAAATTATAATACCCAGCATTACTTTCTCCTAAGCCTCTGAATGCTTCCTCTAATGCCCAGTGACAATCAAACCCTGTCAATAAAGACGTAACATATTTACCTGTCTTCTTTCTGTATGCCAGCAGTGTACAAATGTTCATTTATGTTCCCATAGAAATGTGAAGACTTCCTGAGAAGTTATTAGGTTTGACTCATGCCAGTAATGATCATTTTATTGAGATTGGTTTATGACTGTTCTCGAAGGGTCCTCTTGATGCCGCTCTTTTCCAGTGCATTCTGGGAGAGCTGACCAAAGGTATGTCCGTACATGAACTGGTATCCTGTGGGACGGTGAAGAGTTAGACATGCTTGATGTTTTCCCCTGGCGGAGTGATCAATTTAAGTTAAGTAACTTTTACAGTTTGTCTGATCACAAGGCTTTGTGGTGTGAAATGTGTTGCTAAGCTCTGACACAGACCTGGGATGTGTCCTGTGAATGATGGCACCACACCCCTGTTTGATGGATAGATATTGGGCATGGGAGGTGTTGAACTGTCCTTCCTCCCTGCAGTGTCATGGGACGTTGGGTCACTCTGCTGCTGCTTCCCAAACTGGATCAGTGCCTGGTTGGTGGTGATGGGGTAACCTTTACCAATTAAGGAACGACATTTTGGCACATGCCCCGTAAATCCTGCAAAAAGACATCACTCTTTAAGCTGTTGGAGTATTTTAGTCATTCTTTTTATGCAAGAGTAGGCTATATATTGACCTTTATATTAACTGAAATGACCGTATAAGTAATGTGAATGAAAGGGATTGCTAAGTAGTGAACCCACAGATAATTACCCAATGCACAGCCCTCAACAGCTTTTCAGCCTCCTTTCGCTAATTGTTTTAGCTTTACAACCTGTATTGATAGATCAATACCGTTTTCAGATACCTATTTGGTCTTCCTGCTTGCAAATATACTGTCCCTCATAGTGTCATTTTTGACTGCTTAGAGAAATGTCTACTGCACACTAGCGACCAGTGGAACATAGCTGAGCTTTCAGCAGCCAAAGAGCCATATATTCCCTCAGGAGTTAGTGGAGACCAAAACAGAGCTCAAAGGAGGTTAATTATTGGATTTATGTTTGTCTGGTGGCCAGAAACATGACTACATATGAATGCTAATGTCACTCTTTCTGGGTGTGTAATTAAGCAGCTGTTTGCTAACAAGTTTGCTATGTCATTTAAAATGTGATGTCAGCGTTGTGTGGTTTAAGGCCTACAGCATGTTACACCTGCAGCAATGCAGTAAACCTACTGCATTACATGTATTTCATGCTACAGGTACCAGCTGTAAAACTCTCCTGTCGGGTACCTGAGATAAAGTACTTGTGCGGGTTATCATCTTCCATGTGATATGGTTTTCCAGGGGGGACGAAGGGCTTCAAGGGCTTGTAGGAGATCACTTCGTTGGTGATCGCTGTCAGGGGGAGGGTTGGTCTCTGGGCCAGAAGATGACAGGAGATCGTTGAAACATGCATGGCTCAGAGATCATATGATTGCTGTGATCATGTGACAATATTATATTTCCTCTCAGAGACTTAACTGGTGAATCTGTGCTTGGTTGTACTAGAGAGCTGTCCAGTTCTGTCTTTTTTTTTTTCTTTTTTTTAAATTGGATTACATTACAGTGAACTGACAATGGAGCTCAACCATGGATAATTAAACAAGAGTGAACCTACTCTGAGGTGCCATGTCAACATCTATGTGTATGTGGGCAACAGAGTGAAAGAGAGTGGTAGAGCCATAGCATGTGTGTATATGGCACACACACAGAGAGAGAGAGAGAGAGAGAGAGAGAGAGAGGAGAGAGAGGGGTTACTTCAGACTGTTGGCTGGTGCAGTTGACAATAACTGGCAGGTCTGTCGAGTGCCGTCGAGTCTGTACACGCCCTTCCTGGTAAAACTCAGTCAGGGCTTTACGACATGTTTCAGAGTAGCTGCAGGAAAAGTAGTTCTTACGTCCTGGAATGAAGCCTAAAACAGCAACAAGCAACATTAAAAAGGATGTTTGATCTGAACTTTTAGTGGTGTCTGGCCATGAAGATGGTTTCATTTTTATTTGCTCCGGTTGTAATATATTAGTCTCTGGAGATTTATGCCTTGATCCAAGTACAACAGCAGTGAACGGATCTTTCTTTGTGGTGCTTTTAAAGAAGTTATCCACAACATCCCTGTTACCCTGATAATCCACAAAACACAATGTGAACAGTTTTCAAAGGGACTATTTCTTTGTCACAAATTCTACAAGTTTCCAATGAAAACAGTTCACAACAATGTCTATACATTATCCAGAGTAGCCGAGACAAAGTTTTTAGCCACTGATGCACAGATGAAACTCATTCACCTTCATTTGAAGTGGAGTGGCAGAGACAGAGATATCTAAAAACCTTTGCAAATAACACAGAAGCTATCTGCATGGGACTGCTAGAAGTTAGAAAATATGTTTTTGTTGTGTGTAATTTGGGTGCTCTTTTAAAATGCTCTTTAAAAGCATGTGTACATAAGTGTGTGATTGTCAGACCAAACATTTCAACCATTGACCATTCACCACTGCAAACACTGCTGCAGTGTTCTGTTTATCATATCAGCCTGAGTCCTTTTATGCAGCTGTTCTGTGGATGTTTTCTTGATTTTCAACTCTGTCCCATTTACCTGGTTGCTTATAATTAATGATTTAGCAGTTAGACACAGATGATTTGTTCTCATGTTGCTGTGAAATCTCCCATTTTCAAAGGCTTTTTGCCAGACTCAACGTGTAACTGACATGTGCTACTGACTGGTATTTAGTTATTTCACATCATTACTAAGTAATTAACAGCTTGTGAATTAACATGTTGCCAAACTTTACAGCGGTGTTTGTTCCCAATATAAAACACATTTCCATGAGGTGTTCAGTTACTTTGCTGACCCTGTGTTAGTGTGATATACCTACCTGTGTATCCTGGTATCACCTTCTTCAAGTTACTGTCAGGGATGCCTCTCAGTGTCAGAGCAGCTGTGTCAGCTGTGACAGTGGAGCGGACGTGATCTGTGGGGATGACCAGCCGACTGGAGTGTTTTACATCAGGACTGGTCAGCAGCTCGGCTGTGAGCTGGCCGTAGGACTTCCCCATGTTAAACTTCAGCTGTGGGCAGTACCCTGCATATCTGAGAAACAAGCATCTACAGTGCAGCCTCCGTAGCAAATTATGAAATTTGAAACAATGAGAAATTAATAGAAAATTTATATCATTTTTAACAGATTTCATATTGTGTTCTCCAACAGTGGGCTAACACTGTTGTTTTCCTATTGTAATTTACTGTAGCAGACAACAGCCTACTTTTAATTTTGTGGACAAAATAACAGGAACACCTTCACACACAGTTTAATGCAATACTACAGCACAATAGGCTAACAGCAAATAAGGCCTTACGAATAACTGTGACTTAACTTTGAATAAATAAACTTTGAATAAATAAATAAAATGTCAAAATTACAATTCAAGTGTTTTTTGCAAGGCTATAACACCGTATTACATGTTATGACATGTTCATATTGTATGTCCTCCTATGAACTGAAATAACTTCACAGGAATAATGAGCCCAGGAGACATGCTCCACCTGCGCGATAAGTTGCTTCATGTTTTGTTTTAAATATTTAACATTGAAAGGATTTTTTTTTTTTTTGCAGTATTTCTTAGCAGTTCTCATGTCTGCAGATATGTACTTACCCCGGTATATAATGTGGATCAGGTGTCAGCAGAACTTTGCTGAATTTGGGGGCGTATTTCTCCATATTGATCCGGGTATGGACTGAGGCAGGTCGCCTCGTCGTGGTGTTTGCTGGTTGCTACAGAGAATCAAACACAAACACAGCAATGGAGCTCTGCGCTGCCGTTAAGCCGACGTGTGTGCATCCAAACTTTTTCTGCAAGGAGGAAAATAACAATGTTTTCTGTAATACAGCAGGGAGCTTTACATTTAGAGGGAGTGGAGATGGGGTGGGGGACGCTGGGTCCTTCCCCAGAAAAAAGAAAATAACACAATTTTCTGAAATGTGACACGCATATTCAAAGACTTTAGAAGGATTATTCTTCAAAACGTCTCACCACAAATAGCCTACTGTATAATTATTTAGAGATTTTCATGTCAATTGTTTGCGCTGTAACGGAAATTGACAACGACACTCCTTTTTTTTTTCTTTTTTTTTTAAACTCACTTCCATAAATACACACCAAACATGTTAATTAACTGCCTCTTACACAGTACTATGACATAATAATAATAATAATAATAATAATAATAGTAATAATAATAATAATAATAATAATAATAATAACAATAATAATAATAATAATAATAATACATTTCAGCCGGCAACCTTTGGAAGAAACCAATGTCATAGGGAAAAGGGGTAAATGTCAGAATCCGGATATCAATCATTGTTGATTTACTATGATTTCCATCCTCTAGCTATACTCGAAGAACTACACCTGTTCCTCGAAAGGCTCAGTCATCAGATGATCTTTGCTGCCCTCGGCTTGTACTAATGTGAGACAGACAGACGAAGCAACACCTCACCCCAGTCACCTCTGAGAAAGTCCACCGAGTTCATCTACATTAACATTCATCGTGTTTTCAAATTAGGTTTCTGAATAAATAAACAAATAAGGTGACCATGAGATTTACAGACCAAACATGAAGATACGAAAGTGGAACAAAAAGGCAAAGGGAGTTGCTGTTATTTTCTTTAAAGATTTTTTATGGATAGATAGATAGATAGATAGATAGATAGATAGATAGATAGATAGATAGATAGATAGATAGATAGATATTCTTGAGAAATGCTCAACAACGACCCCTAGCGACCTTCTGTAGTTGTTGCTAGTAGGAAGTAGGAAGGTGACCAAAGGACCAGAAGTCAAGTATAATTATCAAGTAAAAATACAGATAAAAAAGTGAAAGAGATAAATACTTTATGGGTTAGCGTGTGTATGAGTGTATGGAAACCTACAGTATTATTCCATACATTATTTATAAGTAAATAAACAAATAAATAAAATGGGGGAACAGTTAAGTGGCTGTTAAAATTCATTAGGACAGCAGGCGTACATGTGAGCAGACTGTGCACTGACTGAGTATAACGTGCTTTTGTTTTTTGTTTCCAGGATTGTGAATGGGCCTGTGTGTGTGATCAGACGACCTGTGCTGTCACTGTCCACCTGGGGAATGTAGATCATATCAAGCAGACAGGAGTCCATTCCTGCACACACATTCCTGCAGTCTCAGATCTCTAATCTTTGTTCGTTGAAATGACGAAACAGCGTTCACTGTTTCCACTCCTTCTTACAGTTCCCCTTCTCGCACACATACCATAATGTTGTATATCCGCTGAGGAATTTTACCATATTATGTTACTGTTCTCATATTCACGTCGGTCATAGAAGTGAGTTCTATTTCAATGTCAACTTGTGGGTAACATTTAAATGGACTTGCTGTTCACTAGCTTTATCTATGAGCATTCCTTCGTTTTCACTCCCTTCACAGCACCTCTGTTTCTGAGAAGCACAATGTAACTGAAGTTTGTTGTGCGCTCTTTCCTTCTGAGTACTGTCTGTAAATACACAGAGTATCCCAGGTTAAATCTGTGCACCCATGTCACGGCTTGTTCTTGTTATGTCTTGGATTTCTTACAGGTGTCAGGACAAATCAAATGTCAAATAGTGCTGTAGATGAATCACAGCTTTTTCCCAGTATTTAGCGACAGGAAGGAGCAGGTATCAACATGCAGCTCCGCGCTGTGACAGGACAGATGATAGGAGAGGCGTGGTGAAGGAACAGAGGCGGATCACAGGGGATGTTTTGAATGCTACATCACCAGCTCACCTCAGCTAATGACAGCGTAGGTTGTTTCAACTGGTGTCTTCACGTTCCTGTTGCAGTTCAGTAGCTCAGGAGTGAGGGACAGAAACCTTTGGAGATGAATCTTTACAGGAGCTTTGGAAACCTTATGGAGGCTTGGATGACCGAAGGAAGCTTGTATTCTGACTCACAATCACTTGGAAATAATGATGAAGACTCTCCTACACCTTCCTATGATATGGACACAAACCTGCGCTCAGAATCGGTGGACTCTGGAGTGGAGACAGCCAGCTCTGACACATCTTTCCTTGCCACATCCTGCTCTGTTTCAGCAGATAATGCAGAAATAGATGCATTTATTCCAGAAAGAGAAGGCCATGGACTCACTCCAGCCTCAACATCACAGTCTCCTCTCCTCTCCTCTCCTGTGCCTTCCTCTTCTTCCTCTTCGTCCCCGTACCTCTGTCCCAGCAGACGTCCTGGGGGCTCCCTGCACCTAAAAGTGGAGCAAGCACTACAGAGGACTGATTCTAAACATCAAAGGGGCAACCCAGAGCCCCTTACAGTGGAGGACGTGCTCAGGCGACAGCCTCAAGCATCTTTTCTGCCCAAACGGCACACATCGGATTTAGTGAGAGGTCAAAGGTCAGAGAGTTTCAGTCTAAGGAGAACAGCCAACCCATCAGCGCCCATCAGGCAGATGTCAGAATTGTGCAGACGGCCGATGTCTATGAGTTGTGATAAGCAGAGATCAGAGGTGAGATACTGTTTATGTCACAAAACAAATTGTGTCAATCAAATCTCTAAGAATTTAGTTTTCTGTTTTTGGAAAAACAGAAGAGATTAAAATATTTATTCAGTGTCGTATTGCTGTTACTCAAAAGGCTATGAAAGTTGTTCTTATTTGTTCCCACGGCTTCAGAATTACATAATAAGTTTCACACTAACATGTATGGTCTTGCAAAGCAAATGTTAAGAAACCATGGTAGAAAGTCCCAGAGGTGCAACAAGGCCTTTACTTTTACAGTAGTTAAAAGGTTGCAACACACATTTACAAAGTTGCTCTGCAGTTTAAAGTAGGACAGGCATGTCATTACTCATTCAGGATCTCTTTTATGCTTGCAACCTGCCATGAGTCTGTCTGTGGTGCGAGGGATCATAAACCAGTCTGCCCAGGTGACTTTACACCCGCAGGCACGAGAGGAATGGAGACGTGGGGGAAGTTGAGCAGTCTGTGGCGTTTCTTGATAAATGTGACAGACATGTTGGTAACCACACACCGGAAAAACATTTGTCTGAATCTGATTTGGAGCAAGTACATAAAGCACCATTGAAGACATTCCTCTTCACATCTGTCATGAATGGCTGAGCTCAATGCTAAAACCAGTTCATGCTGATATTGCACAGAGGTGTTGAAACAACTGGATTAATTGCAATTGTATTTAATTGAGATTTTTTTTAGTACTTGGGTGTGTGTGCACACTGTTCATTTTCTTGTGTGAGGGCAAGTGTTAAAAGGCTTTGAGGAAGGCATTATCGAGGAACCAAGTAGCCTATCCTATATACTGCACCAACCCAGTGGACACAATATCCTATTATATTTTTTTAATCATACATGACTATACTTCCTTTATTCAGTTCAGTGTATGCATGTATTAATAGTAAACAAGAAATGCTGCTCAGTCAGTCAAGTCTGGATATTCTGACTGAACAAGTTGAGATTTTAAGGTTCATGAGAAAGAATAATTCTATAGATTCAAATAGTAATATTATGAAACATAGCACAGTCTTTAATATCATAATCTACATTAATCTTTATTCATTTGAACTGTCTGTTGGTCAAAACAGACAACATGAAGACAGCACCACTTATTCTGGGAAATTGTGATGGGTTTTCACTATTTTTTGACAATTTTAAAAAAGAAAAAACAAACAAACAAACAATAAACCGATTAACTATGAAAAAGAAAAATAACCTTTAGCTACATGAAGCCATGCAAGCAGCTCTGTGAGGTTGTACCTAGATATGGCAGTGCCTTGAGCTAAATGCTAACATCAGCATGCTATCATGCTCACAATAACACTGTTAACATGTTGATGTTTAGCAGGTATAATGTTCACCATCTTAGTTTAGCATGTTGGCATGCTAACATTTGCTAATTAGCACCAAGCACAAAGTACAACTGAGGTTGACAGGAATGCCATTATTTTTGCAGATATTTGGTCCTAAACCAAAGTGATGGATGATTTGAAATTTTGCTGTATGAGACGTTAGGGAAACACAGTTATAAATGTGTGCACCAGATTTCATGGCAATCCATTTAATGGTTGTTACGACATTTTACTCAAACCCACAAATGTCAACCTCATGGTGGTGCTAGAGGAAAACTCAGGGCATCGGTAAAGTCATTAGCATTCATCCTCTGAGAACCACGAACCTTTGCTCAAAAATGAATCCATTTTAACACTTAGTGAGATTTCATGACAATTCCACCAAGAGAAGGTCATCTACTGTATATGTGATATTTTTTTCATAGTGCAGTAATCTGCCTGATTTTTCAAACACAATGAAGAACTGAAGGAAGCTGTGGAAACTTACATTGTGTTTTTCTTTGTATCTTACAAGGTAACACTTTTCTTGCTTAATGATGTGTGCAGGTTCCTGGTGAGGAGGACAGGACAGGACTGAGCCCCGGGCTGAGCTACCTGGAGCAGGTGTGCCAAATGTTGGAGGAAATTGCCAGACAACAGATGCACAACCGAGCGTTACAGACGGAGGCGGATGCCCTGCGGGAACATCAAGACACGCAGGTGAGCCAGGTGAAGACAAGTCATGTATCACATCTTTGCAAAGCAATTAAGAAGCTGTCACAGTATTCACACTCGTCGGGTTTACAAACATGACATGGTCTTGTCAAGCTGCCAGCGACAAGATGTCTTCTTGCCGCCTGAGGGTTCATAATGTGAATTAAACCATGACGATATTTTGCTTCTCATCACTTGACTCTTTCAGGCTGTCGACACCTGTCAGACTGCCTCTAAAGCTGCTGAGGAAGACCTCTCCTCTTGTCAAAGGCCCGAGAATATAGAAAATGCAGAACACTGTTCAAGTGAACAACAGCGGCAGAAACATGACACTTCTAGACATTTTCGGCGGAGATCGGCTTCTGACACAAATATTGCAACACTGCATTTAAGTGAGTCATCTTGTTTCTATCCATTTTCACTTTACCTTTTTGATGTGTTTTGTATAATTAAGATATTATTGGAAATGGACCACCAGTCTAAAGAAAAGAGAAGAATATTGTTCATGTGTTCGTATTGTTGTGTGTGTGTGTGTGTCTGGTGCAGGAAAGATGAAAGCAGACTGCAGAGGGCAGCGTCTGAGTACAGATGACCTTGTGGAGAAGCCGGAGGAAGAGCAAGAAAAGGAGGTATAATGCATTACACTACACATATCTTGTATCCAGGTGAAAAACACAATCAATGTACCAGCTAAAGGATGTAGACACTGTCATTTGTGTTGTGTTACACTGAGTTTTATAAGCGATATTATTATTATAAGTTATTTTCATTTGACTTTTTCACAATCTTCTCTCAGTTCGGTTTACAAATGTTTCAATGTGTGTTTTCAGGAGTCTACAAAGGAGGAGAGGAAAAGACCTAACAAGAACTGGAAGTTAAAAATAGGCTCTTTGAGAAGAGAGGCGTCTCCCCTGAGAGATACAAAGGGGTAAGATATTGCATTTATTACTGCAACCTTTAAGGGGACAGCATTATTAATCTCATATGATGCATGATGCTCTGAGGAAATGTGTGTGCTGCTCCAACATGGCAGCCAGCAACACCGATGCAGCTCTCCACGGCTAATGCACAATGTATGCTGAGGCGCTGCTGGGAGTTCATTTTCAGTCTGTGCATCTGTTCCTCTTGAACATTTTGTCCTTTTTTCATGAAACTTTGCTAACACACTGCCCCCAGTTTCCCACAGAGTCTTGCTTCAGCTCTGTCTGATGAATCTTTTATCTGTACAGCCAACAGATGCAGTCATCTGAGAAAAGCTCGACCCGACGACGGCTGAGCCAGCTGTTCAGGAGGAGAAGGAAGACTCTGCCTGTATGAATGGAACACAGTGTCATGATGTTTGGACCTTTTTTTTGGACTTTCCTTTAAATGTTTGAGCACTATCACTGCTTTCAAACTGACTTCCTATTCAGTGCATGTGCTGTAGCAATCTGTCATGTTTATTTATTGCCCGCTATATACTTGCCTTCATTATTTATACTGATAAATGGTGTCATTTTCTGTAAAACTGCGACGTGGAACAGAGTAAATGTGTGGTTTGTTTCTCTGTCATGCCATTCATAATTCAAAGCAGTGCAAAGCTTCATAAGAAAAACATCAAAGTTGTATTTTTTCCACCTGTCAAAGCTGCAGATTGGTAAAGAATATTAGTATGCACTCTACAGTACACTACACTATAAATGTCAAATAAAATACATACAAGTCTCGCCTATTTTGTGACCGACAATAAGAAGTTGTGAGGCTGTTTCAGAATTATATAATATAAATAATAAAGGTATGGTCTTCATGATATTTGGTACATTTCAAGAAGTTTTTACAAAACCATTTAAAGTCCTTTAATTCATTAACCAATCCATTAACCATCCCCAAATGTAAAAAATGAAGCGACTTAGTTTCATACTAATAATAACTAAAAAAATAAAAGGCACTATTCTGCAGCCGTAATTGCTCTGTAGCTTGACAGATAACAAGCACAGGCCACACAGAGTTACTTTTATCATTATTTAATCTTTATTCACCTAGGTTGGGGGGATAGACCTCCCCTGGCATTCCCATGTAAAGAGATGTCAATGACAAACACGTCCAACCAAACGAGAGAGGGTGAATAGGATTCCAGTCCATACATAAAATACATTTATTTACTATTTACTGAACCACCAGCATCCATTAGTCCCACATAGCATCCATCTGTGCTATTAAATATATAGAGATAACATCTGTGGAGGGATTTATTTACTGTATGTGTGTGAGAGGGAACTGGAAGAATGGGTAGAGCTTATAGACGAAGAGAGTGGTGGTGTTGGGGGGCGGGGGCGGGGGCAGCGTCGAGTCATGCCTGCAGTGTACCCCCCTCGTCTACATGATACCACAGGAGGACAAGGGGTTGGCGATCTGGCAGGTGCAGGCTGACTGGCAGTATTGGCGCACAGTCTGGTAGCAGCTGCGGTCGGCGTCCCCGCCCCACTGCACGGGCCCATTGGGGTCAGAGGGCAAGCGGCTCAGGATGCTGGTGTTGATGGCCAGAGCAGCCAGGCCATAGTCAGTGAACAGCACTGTCTCGCGCCGGCACGTGGGGCAGGAGATGAACTTGTACTTGGGACAGGACTCGTAGAGGATCTGCAGGCACTCCTCACACACCGAGTGCAGGCAAGAGAGGATGCGCGGACGCTTGCCGGCGAAGTTGTAGGTGTGACCGCAGGTGGGGCAGTCCAGGGGCTCGCAGGGCATGACGGGTCCCGAAGAGGAGGAGGACGAAGTGGACGAGGAGGTTGAGGAGGAGCGCAGCACGTACTGGTTGACTATGACGTCCTCCATCTTGTAGTGGAACTGGTGGTAGCAGATTTCGTTGGCACTGGTTTTGCGCTGCGCCAGGAAGCTCTGCTCCCTGCGCGTCACGGGGGCCGGGGGGGTCACCATCGGCCGTGGAGACCCGGCTATGTCCAGGGTCAGGTCACTGCAGGCCTGGTTGACGATTATTTCGCCTTCGCCTCCGCCGTCCCACGCCACTCTGGGGGGTGGGGCATAGCGTGGCTGGGTGACGGGCACGGGGCACTCTCTGGGGAACTTCTCCGACTGAATGATCTTGACGGTGTCCATGGGGATGGTGACGGGCTGACGCCTGAGGCAGGACATTCGCACGTTTTTGGAGGTGGAAGAGAGAGGGGCTGTGGCTCTAATCAGCGCTGGGCGACCCTGCCTGGTTCTGTGCAAGGGGAAAAAGACTGTGCTCTTTCTCTGAAGTCAGCCAGTTGAGGGAACATGAGGACGGATGGTTGCCTCCATGTTTCCCTCAGAGATCCCCCCCTGGTGTGCACTACTGTCAGCCTGAGTCTTTATGAGGGGAAGACAGATAGAGGAGCTCAGCCAGAGCACCACAGTCTGCAGCTCTTATTCTGTCACAGCTGATATGTGCAGATGATTTAACAGTCCAGCTTAGAGTATCTGACCAGTGTTGACTACTTTAAGGTAGTTTTTTGTTGTTTTAAATTGCTTACGCTGATGTTCCTGTGCTGTCTCTGATGGCTATGTACAGAAACGTATATTGACACACAAGCACAGTTAGTACTTTAGCACAAAGATATGTTCTCACTCAGTGAACATTAATAAATAATCTCATATGCACACAGATGCTCACATATATACATACAGTACAGGTTGGTGGTTTTCTGCATTCACAGAGTGTGGCGGGGACGCAGGGGCGGAGGGGGGTTGAGTACAGGCAGTTCAGAAAGGTCCAAGAGGTATTGTCTTAAACTATATCCTGTGGCCTGCCAGGGGAAACTCTTGCCTTCTCAAACTAGCCTTCACATGTGTGTCTCGCTTTAACGCCCGCTTCACTTCCTGTTTTTGGCTGCGGGTGTGTTACACTTCGACTTGAATGCGTGAGAAAGAAAGAAAGAATAACCTCTTTCTCTCTGGTCTTGGCCCAATTTGGTCAGGTGACCCTGTGTGACCCTCTCAGTGGCTTGTTGATAAGCAGGAGGGAGGAGGGGGAGGAGGTGTCTTATTATGCTCAAGAAAGCTGTTGTTGGAATGACTCCTCCAAGGCTCCAAGGCTCCTAAATTCCTCAAAGGTGGGAGTGAAGGTTTTTTTTTTTTTTTTATTGGACTTTCAGACAGTCCACCCAGCAGCAGAAGTGATAACAGTCTGAAGGATGCCTCTGTGCTTGTCTCCCTTTTTCAGTGAGTCAGACTCATAACTTGATTCCTTTGGTCCGTCCACCTGTGAAAAGAGGAAAAAGGGATATTTATATATAAAATGCATGAATTTCCCCTCTGATAAAACACATTGTTTTTCAGTTTTAGTGAATTTTAATGACATTCAATATGAAATGCTGATGAAATACAAATGTGGAGAGCTGGGTCAGCTCAAGTTTTACTGGAGCGTGACTTTTATTTTTAGAAAGGTATGTAGGTGTACACAGTTTTGATTGTGCTTTACACCTGTACACGACAGAACACTGCTATGACGAGGATATGTGAAGCTCACATACCCCTTAAAAATGTAATATTTCTATGTATGATTTTAAAATATTTCACATCAGAATTATTTCATTGGGGAACCCCCCCCCCCCAAGCAGTTCAACTGTATCTGTATAAAGATCAGTTTCTTTGTGTTTATCTGATGCCGGGATGACTCACTCTGGTGACCATTTCCTGTCGCATCTTGGCCTTGGCCCAAGTGTATTTATTTACAGAGTGAGATAATTATCATGTTGCCACTTGCTCTGCTCTTTAAATTGCTATTTTCATTGGATAATTAAGTTATTGTTTCAGTTTCAGTGCAGTTCTGCCATACTGATGCCTACAATGTTCAGATTTTGTTGACACTGTCCTAGGGGTGTTAATTCAATTATATGTGTTACCACTGAGGTCATAGTTCATGATGGTGTTGTATTTTGCCCCCCTTCATGTATGTAAATAGGAAGGACACAATAATAGAGACACCTCTCAATATAATCTAGTCCAGTACAATAAACATAGAATGGAATTTACCTCTTTCCAACAATGTCACCAAAACCTGAACATCATGAGCTTTGTAAAGGTAGCACGTTATGGCACGACTGTACTGGATTCTATTGTACAAGTGTACCTAATAAAATGGCCATTGAGTGTATTTACAATACATCATATCTTTTATGATCTTTCTTTTATAAGTATTTTATCATTTTGCAGATGCATGTATTCTCTCAGTTTAAATTATTTTATTTGTCATGTATTAGCACACAGATCTGTTTTATTCAGTGTTGTTGCAATTATCAGTAATTTCTATGTTCTGGTGCACACACATATATAGATGTTATATATAAAAATGTATGCAGTAGCCTGGATATAAGGTAGACTGGGCTGTAAACCGCAGAGGAAGAGTAAGTACAACTGATAAACAATGAGAAGCTAAAGCCTGCCAAACCGTCATTTCAGAGCAGGTGATTGTGACACATGTTGCGGTCCCGCACTCGTCATGGTTCCTGCTTCCTGTCAACGCTCAGTCGCCTTGTGAGTTGCGTCAACTAGACTCTGACATGAGTGGGAACAGGTTATAATCGGCACGGAGGCTTTGTGTCATTTTGTGTGTGGGTTTGTGAAAAAGAACAAGTGCACGGATGAACTTTTTTTTTTTTTTTTTTTTTGCTGCCAAACAACAGAAAAGGGAGGATGACACATCTTTTCATTCTCTGCACGGCTGTCAACAGTGATGATTCATTAGAGGGAAAAAAAAAAAAAACCACTGAGAAGAGGAGGTGACCTACATGGCGAGGAAGAGAGAGAGAGAGAGAGAGAAAGAGAGAGAGAGAGAGAGAGAGAGAGAGAGAGAGAAAGAGCAGAGGGAGCACAGCGCTGGTCCTGGTTTCTATTTATGGTTTGTTTATCTATGCACCTCTCAGTGGTTTCCTGCCTCCAACCTCTGCTGAAGATTCACACCGAATGAGAGAGAGATGTACCGAACAGACGGAAGTGGTTTAGCCCCTCGCTTTCACGTGACGCAGTGAGCCATGCTGGGTGCACAGGCAGACATTTGTTTCTCCCCTTTATTCTTTTTCCATGAATCTTTTGACATATTTGTAAACGGCACACTCAAACACACAGGGCTGGAAGCCAGAATCACTCACAATCTCACCAAATGTGTCTCCAGCACTGCAGTGTCGCAACACTTCTCCTAAAATAGCCTGTTTCTTTCTCATCCTCCTGTACACACAGTGAGGGCAAGGTGTTAACAACAAATATAAAATATCACGTTAGCTTCTTTTAAATCTCTTCTCTCTCTCTCTCTCTCTCTCTCTCTAATTAATTATTACTATATTGTGTAGTGATGTCCTAGTGATATATTTTGGGTGCCACTTTTAAGAAAAGATTTGTTTTGTGTTTAGACACTTTGGCGCACTGGAGCATTTGACAGTTATGTATGTTATACATATACAGGTATCAGTGTATATATGGGCAAATTAATAACAAGAAATCGCAGTAGAGAAATGCCAAAGATATATTATGGTAATTTAGAAGCAGTGTCGCCATTACATTAACTGTGTTGAGTACTGCTGAGTACAAACACATTTAAAGGATCTAAAATAACTAATAAAATGTCTTTATGTTCAAGTTTTAAAAAAACAACATAATGTTCAGCTTATACATAATTATTATATTTTTTCAAACTCTCAAATAATGATATAGCAGCAGCCAGCAAAATCCAGTATCAGATTCATATCCTTAAGGTTGAACCTTAAGGAAATGGAAATAATCAGCTCCACTTCTCCCAGATATGAAATGCCCAGACACATTTTGTGGACACAAACAGCTTGTGAAAATACTTCTGTCTGATAGTGGAAGGGGTCGAGTTGATAAAGCAACCAGACTGCATGAGGAGCCTTGGAGCCTGGGGGAGATGAAGCAGCTAAAATTACCCTCTAATTTGGTGACAGTGCTATGAAAAGGGCTGATAACTGATGCAGGCTGCCTGTTGATGGGCCTGCTTTGGCGCAGCCTCCTCCTAATCGACAGAGCCCTCTCCGATTATGTAAGGAGCTCATCTCTGGCCCAGCCATCATATTAACACAGTGTAAACTGCTGCAGCTCTCCCACAGTCTTGACATTGTATGTGTGTGTGTGTGTGTGTGTGTGTGTGTGTGTGTGTGTGTGTGTGTGTGTGTGTGTACATATCTCTGTATCCTTTCCCTGTAGAGGAATTATCACACTAATGAAATCATGGCAGGCATTTGACCTCGTCATCACAAGCAAAAGGAGGAAGAGTAGAGCTGACCACAGAGATGTCAGAGGACTCTGTTTCAGCAGCAACATTCCTCATACCATTAAACACACACACAGTATAAAGTCTCACACACACATATCCTAGAACATTCTCGCCTTCAGACATCTCCCCATCACGTTCACGGCACCACCCTTTACATTCCAGTGGACACACAAACAAACAGATAACAAGAAGATTGGAGCCACTAAAAGGAGTATTTTTTTTAAATGTGCACACTGATGGTCAGGCTAGATTTACTTCTGACTGATTGAACTGACATAAACACACACCTGACCTGAAGAGGACATGCCTGGAACATTCCTATCCTCTCACACTCCCACTATGTTCCTTCATCGCTTCACACACACACACACACACACACACACACACACACACACACACACACACACACAGAGAGAGCGAGAGAAGCGCCGCGTGCTCTGAGAGACACACACACACACACACACACACACACACAGGGAGAGCAGGAGAAGGGCACCGTGTTCTGAATGAGTCATACAGACCCTGCACATCGGTCTGTCTTCCTACCTGTCTCTCTCTCTCTTTTCTCTCAATGAAAATCTATCTATCTATCCATCTATCTGTCTATCTATCTTTATGCATCTTTATGAGTAGTCTGTTGGCCAGGACAGAACTGACGGTCTGGGGTCTCTTTGCCCTTACACCACATACCAGCAGTATGTCAGGTATGCCAGCTATGTTGAGATGTGTATCCACATTCATGCCTCGGCTGGTAAAAAGCATCGTCACATGTCTACTCGGACCTATGCGGGATATTATGTTGTGTTTTGATTGCATAACATATTATGACCTTAGCGTGATCTGGGGACAAATCCCCAGATTTAGTGTATGTTTGCTGGCTGCGGCTCCTCTCTGGGAATCATGGTGCTTGCAGGGCTTCAGTGAAATATTGTGAATAATTCAAAAAGCAGGAGGATGTGCTTCCGTGGCATTTTAACAAATTGAAAATGGTGTGGTGTTGTATGCATGCAGATGGCAGATACATCTAGGTATCTTGCTTGTTTTTATGTTTCTAGTGCTTTATATTTGTATGTTATAGACATAATATATACGTTTTTATTTTTAAATGTCGTGCTTTTCTCAATGGGGTTTTGCACACCATCATTGTCTGAACAACGGAACGAACCTCATGCACATTTGACGTGCAGTGGGTTGGTGTCAGGCTGATGAAATACATCTTGATATTTTTTTTCCTAGAATTAAGATCCACACATGACGTTTGGCTCTACGGGATGACTATACATTTACAGTCAATCCATCATGCTGTTTGTCACCACTTGCAACACGAGCTACTGTGTAATTGCAGTCTGATGTTTGTAAATTTTGCATGGGCAGAAGGCGCTTGCTGAGTATGTGGGAATGTTTTTTAATAATTCTTCCTTCTGTCATTCATGGCAGACATCGGCCATTTTGCCTCGCAATTCATTACAGCCAAGTGCTCTTTGTTCTCTTTTGTCAATGTAGCTCCCACAGCAACATGGCAGAGCTTGCACACAGGCAGAAAAATAAAAGCAATAACCAGCATCACTCGGCCTGACACAGACCTCATAGAAGATTTATGAGGGAAAGCTTCAGCAAATGCCCAGCTCTTCAATAACAACAGTGGCTTGAGTGATTAAGGAGATTGATTTTTCTTTAAAGGAGCCTGTCTCAGCTCGGGGTTAAGGTGGACTGCGTTGTTGATGTCGTGTGAGCCCGAGAAGGGACTCATCAGTGAGATAGAGGTGAGGTGGCCAAAATGTTTGGGCTGTGTGAGATGGAGAGGCTTTAGCTTGCTGCCTCGCATGTGGGAGGGGTGCAGCTCAGGAGCAGCAGTTATGCAATCGCAGCATGGTGTGCCCAGCACTCTCACTGCAGCGCCAATGTATGGCCAATATAGAGATGCCTTAGTGCTGCTGACAACTACAGAACAGGCCGTTCTTGCCCTGTCCCTATAACCCCCACCCCCCCACCCCCACCCCCCCTGCACCCACTGTCTGTCTGTCTGTGCAGAGGTCTGTCAAATGTCATATCTGCCGGAGACATGATACCCACAAATACCATCTACACCCAAACTCAAACATCACTGTGGACTGAGCAGATAAGCAGGTGTGCAGGTGTTTGTGGGCATATATGTTTCCATTCATGCATCTGTGTCTGTGTGTTTGCAAAATGGACGGCCATGATGCAACAACCATGTAAATCCCAGCTCAACGTAACAAAGCAAAAGGCAAAAACCACCGCTGTCTATTGTGTTCTTGCACAAAGAGAGATAAAAAGAAGAGAGCCCACACAGAGGAGCCCAATCTCGCACATCTGGAACATACAGCTCATACAGGTGCAGAGTATGAAGATAAACACACAGGAAAATCTTCACCATGAAACAGATGCAAAGCCCTCTCTCATCCTCACCTGTCTGCTTACGCACTTGTCTTATTCCAGTCCTTTCTCCAGTCCTCCTGTCTCCTCTTCCAGTTTTTGCCGATGTTGATGTTGTTGATGCCGCTCTGCGAAGATAAACCAAGCCGCTCAGTCTCTTTGTTCAAGCGATGTCTCACCAGAGGGAGGATGCTCTCTCCTGTCCATATGACTCTGGCAGCATGAACGACAAGCAGCAGTGAGGGGAGGAAAAAGATGGAGGAGATGTAAGATGGAGGAAGCTGTTGCAAGGTGGATGCGTCATGTGTCGGGCTGCTTTCGTTGAGCTCCGCATCCCTCGTTCCTCTCCTGCTCTCCCCTCTGGTACCTTTGTCCTTCACTCTCCCACCCTTGCTCCTTCTCTGACGAGCTGTGGCTGAGCGTCTCCCTCTGGTATTTCTTTCTCCATCCCTCTGTGTCTCTCTCTCTTCCTAAGCCTCTCAAATTATTCAGCTTATTATGGGTAGTGACCTGAGTATCTGTGCTGTGCTCCTCTGTGTGCACGTCCCCTTCTCTTCCTTTCTGCCCGTCTCTTTCCTCTGGTCTTCAGGTAAAGCTCCCTTCTTCTTCGTTCCCTCTCCTCTGCTGTTACCTCTCCTCTCGACTCAGCTGCCGTTCATTACTCCTCTTTCTTCTCCTCTGTCTGCTTCAGTCAGTGCGCCTCACAGTCACACATGCGCAGTGTTTTCACACATACATGCACACGCCCACGCACACACACTCTCCCTCTCTGTCTCTGTGCTTCTGGCACCCTCCTTATGCATGAGGCTTGTTTTGCCTGGCCACCGCCTCCTCCCTCTCTCCTTCTCTCCCTCTCTCTCTCTCTCTCTCTCTCTCTCTCTCTCTAACACACACACACACACACACACTTACACACACACACTCCCTCTCTCTCTCTCGTCCACTCTCTCTCGCTGCAGCACACACTGCAGTGCCTCTGCAGGCAGGATCACGTTTTCTAGTTGCCAGAGAAAATATTTCAGCCAATGAGGAACGTTAACAATGCTGCCCACCCTCCACAACCCCCCCCATCTAAAACACACATACTCACACATGCACACACACACATGAACACGCACATACACTCACACATTTGTACACAAACATGCACACATTCCTCAGAGATATGAAAGCTTTGTACAGAGAGCCATGAATCACACTTATACACTACATGCAATATTAATACAAACACACACACAGGTAAGTACACCAGCCAGACACACAGGAAATACAGGAAGCTGGAGCAAATAGCTCTAATCTACACAGTGCAGCACATCTGAGAAGGGAAAATAAACATCAATTCACTCACAAATTAATTTTCTATCAGGATGCTGACCGGAAACTTAGTAAAAACAGATCCATCATAGTCAGCACTGGCCACAAACATCTCATTCATGTTTGTCAAGTGCAGAAATGGATTCCTACGGGCACAGCCTCAAAGCAAAAATGTCAACAATATAGCAGAGAGGTGTTATTTGCATTCATTCCTCCTTGACTTGACTGCTAAATCTGACACTGCTCAGCGTCTGTAAATTCACTCAGTGACATGAAGGCAGCACCCTAAGCTCCCTCCACAGATACATCACCATACAGTGATGTTGCATAACTAGGATTTTAATAAGTTTTGTATCTGCTCGAGCCTTCATGCCGACCAATAAATAATCCCCACATCAAAATGGAAAAAAAAAATTATGTGATTTTTCAGTCGGTGTAAGATGTTTGAGCTTACATAATATGGACATCAAATGCATAATGTGATGAGAGGCAATGCAGCAATAAGTCACAGCTTATAACAGAAAATCAGTTACATTGCTCCAGTTTGAAGACATTAGTTGGTACTGTAATTTCAGTTTCATAAACTTACTGTTCTCTAGATCTTCAGAATTCTCAGAAGTCAGAAGTTTGTGAAAGAGCCAGAGAATGTACTCAGTGCATCACTGATGCAATCTACGTTCCTCAAACTGTGGCTTTTTGCTGTGCAGTTTTCTGTTACTTATCATTTCTTTTACCCAGAAGCCTGTTTTTAGGAAAATGGATGTGCATCTCATGTTGAAAGTCCATGGAAACAGATATATATCTATAACATTAAATATTTATGACTAGTGCTGGGAAGTAATAATTACTTAGTAACAGGTTTTCTGAGTAACAACAGAGATAACAGTGAAACTTTACTTTAAGTCCCACTCTATAGCATTGATGAGCAGTATTAATAAATGGAATACACTATAATGCAGTAATAAGTGTTTATTATTTATTGTATTTGCACTATAAGCTATAAGGCCTCCTGTATAGATAAATAATGAATGTTACAGCACAGGTGTAATAATGTTAAATGTCTTCATAGGAGAAGTTATATTTCCTGACTTGTACTGAACATTAATGAACATAATGTTCATTGCTGCGTTCAACTACATTAAAGTGTGTTTTAAAACCATTCATTTTAAACAAGTCATATAATGTACATGCTAAACAGGGGAACTGAAGTGTTACCGGGATTACAATTAAATATTGCGCAGCTGCATTACATTTACTAATCCCAGTGACTAGGCATGACTTTAACATCATGGGTTACATTCAACGTTACAATTTTACCGAGAGTTTGACGATGATGAGTTTTCTCAGTTTCGTGTTGTTGTGAAAGTGCTTGTAGGAGAAACGGGCCTCCAGGTCAGAGTTGACCAATGACACGGAGTGACTCACCTGGCTTTGTTCAGTTAGAGGATGAGTGAACCCCCTGGCTTCGCAGTCAGGACAGGAGTTCCGGAGAGCTAGAGCAAGTGTTAAGATAGCTGCTAGTGGTCAGTGTAATCCTCCATCTGAAATGCTTGTTTTACTAATTCACAGTGTCTCGTTAAAGAAACACAGGTCTTCGATTTTCTCAATGTGAAATCAATCAGTATAGATCATATCATAATAAACCCACTGACATGAGTAACCTATTAAAAATACTAGTGTGCAACTACTGTAAGAGATGAGAGAAGCACTTGCAGCAGGACCAAATTGTGTGCTTGTTTAAAAATAGACCAAGACCTAGAACGTTGTTATTATAAATGTTTTTTTTCAAATGCCAGTGAACCGAAACATTACAAAAATGTCTGTGTAGGACAGTCCTTGAATCGTTTGAGTTGTTTTCCTCCTTTTGTCTGAAGAGGTGAAATGCAGTTCAAAGGTAGCTAGAAGTACCTGAAGACCTATATAATTGTAGTTGCCGGGACAATGAGACCTGTCACATGCCCAACATGTCCTGAAGCATGCTTCTTTCAACAAGACCTGATTTCCACTTCAGCTGCATTGTTGAAATTCTCTGCAATTTAAATGCTATTTAGGTACACAAGCATTAGCATCAAATATCCTTAAAGTACCAAAAGTAAAAGTACTCATCATAATGAGCCATTTCAGGATAATTTATTACATTATATTGTGAGATTACAATTATTTATGCATTAATGTAAACATCACTTTAATATTACAGCTGGTAAAGGCAGAGCTAATTTAACTACTTTATATGCTCATTGGAAGCTCAGTCTGTTAAAGCCAAACTAACCAAATGCAGCCCAAGTAGCTTTCACAGTAAAAGGGATTAAACAGTTTAAATTGTCTTGTTGCATGGTGTAATGTTGCACTTTGACCTTTGTAATGAGGCTCTTGTGCCAGTAGGAGGCCATCTTACGTCTGTTTTGTGTCCTTGTGTTTTTCATAGACTGTGCGGTGCTTTTACATGTTTTTCAAGATTCAGGTGGAGCTTGTACCTAAATCTTGATTGTGAAAGTTGTTTCTTTTCAGACAGACGATGGACTGTTTCACACTCATTACATCACACAGCTCACACAATATTGTACGTCTGTACAGGTTCATGGAATCTAACACAGTAGTCCAGCAACTTTTGTGCACTTATCCTGTTAAATAGTTGAGATAGATAGATTGTTCATCATCATCATCATCATCATCATCATCATCATCATCATCATCATTATCATCATCATCATCATCATTCTTTAACAAAGCTTACAAAGAACATACAGTACAAAAGACATGGCATATTCAAAACAAAGTATGAAATTACTTTATTATTATTAAAAGAAATTATCATCCACTAGTCTATCACAAATTTTCATCACAGAGGGTAAATGTGGCTGACAGATGAGATGCTACATTAAAACCAAAATAATGTCTTCTGACTACGGTACGTTTCACTTAGTCACGGCATGGCTCAACAAAATCACTGCTGGACGAACAGATATAAAGTGATATGCAGCTGATGGAGAATTAGGCAGGGACATAGAGTATGGCCAAGGGCCATTTGCAAGGAACAAAACATGTAAGTCCAAGGCAGAAATAATAAATGATTTTAACAGCTCATATTCAAGGCTACATTTGTGCTATTCACTCACACATTAACCACAGAGTTAGTGATAAAAGATAATACATTTATGGTAACGGGAATGACTTACAAGTCCTGTGGTAAATTAAAAAGTGACGTGTGTAGGTTGTCAGCATTTATTTACTGTAGGCACATTAAAGATAGTTTAAATTACATTTACATTTATCTTTACTCATTGGGCAGAAGCTTTTATCCAAAGTAACTTACAAGTGAGGGACAACACTAAGCTTCAGTTCAGAAGGAGACCATGAAGTAAGTACTAATACTAAATCTGTTCAATAAGGTGCAGTACAAGGAGATCAGGTAAAGAAGTGCTCCCAAAGTGCACAGTAAATGCTAGTTAGGCATGTTAGGATATTAGCAGTGAGGTGCTCTCAGAAGAGATGAGTCTTCAAGAGGGTCTTGAGAGGGACGCCCCATCTCTGATGGCATTCAGTAGCTTGTTCCACCACAAACAAGAACAATCTGGACTACAATTGCCTTGTGTGCAGGGATGGCAATGCCGGACAACATTCACTGGAGGAATGCAGTTGCCGCAAAGGAGCATGAGGCTGTATGACTGAGTTTAAGAAGATGGGTACAGAGCCAGAAGTCACTCTGTAGGCAAGCATTAGTGACTTGAATTTGATACTGGTAGCCATGGGTAGCCAGTTTAGGTCAGTGAGCAGCAGAGTGACATGTGGCCTCTTTGGCTGATCAAAGACCAGACGTGCTCATGCATCTGGACCATCTTACAGGGGTTCACTGCATGTGAAGGGAGGCCTGCCAGAAGGGCACTGTAGAAGTCGAGCTGAGAGATGACTATGGCCTATACCAAGAGCTGGGTGACATACTGAGTCAGATAAGGCCTGATTTTCCTTATGTTGTATGGTACAAAGCGGCACAACCGGGAGACAAATGCAACATGGTCAGGAGGGATAGCTGGTTATCAAACAGGGTTCTCGTGACCTTGGTTGGGGTGAGAGATGAAGAGACGATTTTGGTATTGTGATGGAGAGATTGGTTGGCCGGGGTGACCAAGAGTTCATTCACAGAGGTTTAGACGAAGGTGGCGTGCCTTCATCCATGTGGATGTCTGAGAGAATTTACCTCAGTAAGAGCAGATTTAACCAGAAATGTGATGTGTAGTAAAATAAACAGCAAACCAGTGTCTTACATTTTCAGCAGGAATGACAGTGAACCACCAGAGGGAAGTAAAGAGAGTCAGACAGGGACTCTGAGTAATTCACAGCCCTTTTTCCCTGAGATGTTTTTATTCATTAACACCTAAAACAACATACAGCAAAGTGCATAGATTTAAGAAGTGACAGCACTCATTGACTTTGAGCACACACACAAGGCTTAGGTAGAATGAGGTAGCAAATACATTAATTAAAATCTTGCAGGTAATTTACTGGCATGTCTTTTATCATCTCTCTTTTTTCATGATTTAAGGCAGCAAGCTTTCCATGGCTACGTGCAGCATGGTGAACGTGAAGGCAGCGTGAGTCATCCTTCAGCTTCATTCATGAGCTGTTTTCCATAGCCACCCTCGCCCTCTCTCATTATGCTTACACAACAGTAAAGACAAGAAAGAGAACTCACAGTTAAGACTGGAGGAGCTACAGTTGTGCAGGGGTCAGGTCAGTGTGTAGCATACTGATGTGTGAATATTTATGCACAATATTAATATGTTTTAAATGCAATACATGCTAATATTTATAGTATGGTTTACTGATTAATTCAGCAGCACAAAATACCAGGAAAAGTTAAAAATCATTTAAAAAAAAAAAAGAATCATATAATAGTTTCAGTGTTTTAGACAGTCACATACTTAGCAAAAATATATTTTATGTTCTGGGGGAGTTCAGTAGCCATACACTCCATACAAGAGTATAGAAAGGTCTGCAAGTGCATTATCTTATTTTAGTGGGTTGTGTCTCCTGCCTGGTTTGTTTGGTTATAAATTACATTCATGTAAAATCCTGTCATCTTGTGTTCGAGAGCAACCGGAGTCAGTCGAGTTTCTTTAACCGAAAAAGCCATGGCAGAAAACAGCCACACACAGGAGGATGATCGCGTTGACGTTGACAACATTCCTCCACAGAGGCACCTCCGTGGTGTCTGTGAGCTTTTTCTGCAGCTCCGCCTCCTCGTCTGGAGTCAGCTTGGGGGCTTTTTTCTGCTCCAGGCCACAGAAGCACATCACTGCCTTCTTGCACAAGCCTGGCTCCTGCTCTGGCTCTGTAAAGGAAGAGACAAGACCGATGAGGAAAATCTGCTTGTGTGTGTATGTGTGTGTGTGTGTGTGTGTGCGTGTGTGTGCGTGTGTGTGTGTGTGTGTGTGTGTGTGTGTGTGTGTGTGTGTGTGTACATACTGGAGTGCACCCATCTATGTATATACTGTATACTGTATACTGTCAGCTGATTACCTTCTATTTCCATATGGTCGTGGTTATCAACCCAGTCATCCTGTTCAAGGTCCACCCTCTCCTCCGTGCGGTTCCTCAGGCTCCAGCAAAGTCGATACAACTAGACAAACAACACATTGCATGGGTTGAAACAAAATATTTATGACGTCAGTCATGGCAGTTTCTTCCAGTGAATGGTTTGGGGAAATGAATGATTTATCCAGCCTTATCTCACAGTAGTCACGTACATGCTTGTCATCGACGGGTTTGGTCATGAGAGAAATTCCCAGGATGATGATACAGGAGAGAACAAACAGGATGATGGAGAAGTAGAGGTAGTGGACTCCACATATGATGGTGGGACAGTTACTGGGATTAACACAGCTTCCTGTCCCATAAGCAAACTCAGCTATCATCCTGGACAGGCCAATAAACAGGCCAATAATGAGGCCATAAAATGCACCCTGAGGAAGGAAAGAAACAATTAGTGTGATTACAGTGGTTGTATCCAGTGTAGAAAATGTGGTGCTTTCTTGCTAAGACTTAGATGAGACAATTAATACTGACACGTAGAATGCTAACATAAGAAACATAGTAAACATTATACCTGCTTAACATCACCATGTAAAAATATTATCATAGAGTGCCGAAGGAATCGTGTTTGTGTAGGCCAACTCAGAAGGTAGCATCACCCTGGTTCCCTCAACAAAAAGCCAGTGGAATTTTTACATTGGCTTTTTGATTATTGAAAAAAAAATCTCTGTGACAAACCAAAGTTTATGATACCTACACATTTTGTTCAGCAAGATAATTTTCACAAATGTACACAATTTTTATGATTTTTGAAGCCTAAATACAATCGCCATGAGTAAAAAGCCTATGTTGGGCTATAAACAAACTACACCACGGTCGCGTGACTTCAATGTCACCACTCCTAAACTTTCAACTCGTAGTTTGAGTTAGCTCTTACCTCTTCTACAAAAGCCTGTCCTCTTAAAAAGTAATAGTTTGCAAATGTATAAATACAACAAGGCTGTCGAAGTGTATAAATACAACAAGGCTGTCGAAATGTAGTCTCATTTAGTCAACCGGCCATGTAAAAGCTTAAAGAAATCATGACTCGAGTATCTTCTGACATGCTTTATGTCATAGAATAAAATGTCAAAATGTCTTCAGCTTGTGTTAACAAAGACCTTATTTCCGGCATCTGACCAAAGACCCATTGAAAAAACCTTAGGACGAGGGAACCGGCAGTGCTAAAATGCTAACTAAGTTCCACATGTTAGGCCTCATTCTTGCAGCACTCTATTGTGAACATGTTAGCATGATGACAGTAGCTCAAAGCACCAATGTACTTAATTACAACCTCATAGAGCCACTAGCTTGGTCGTAGACTGTTAAATAGATGGTTGAAGTGGAAACTCACAGACTCATTGACACGCTTGCAGAAGATGGCGAGCAGGAAGACTGCTGCAACAGGTGGTGTGAGGTAGCTGGTGATGGACTGGATGTAGTCAAAGAGCTGGCCACTCTGGGCTGACTGCACCACAGGGATCCATGCTATGCTCACAGCAATCAGGGCCATGATAAACACTCTGTACACAGTCAAACACACATGGAAATAGTAGCACTTAGAAATCTTGACAATAATTAAAAACCAGATTGAACGCAACCGAAATGTGTTTTACCTGCCGGCAATCATGAGTTCCCTCTCAGTGGCAGTGCGGCGAATCTTAGTGTAGATGTCCATTGTGAAGAGAGTGCTGGCACTGTTGAAGATGGAGGTAAGTGAGCTCATCAAAGAGGCCAACATCACAGACAGCATAAGACCTCGCAGACCTGAAATAGATCGTATTACAGATTAAAAACAAGGAAGAAGATAACTCTAAGAAAAAGGCTGTAGTTTGCATTCTATTCACATCAGACAAAGGTATTTAGCCACCTACCATTGGGCATGAGATCCACCACCAGTTTTGGATAAGCAATGTTGGTGCAGCCCACACTAGCCCCACAGTATTTTTCACATTCAGCTGGTTCCACACAGGCTACTTCATCTAGAATAACATGAATAAGATCAGCAGGATATTCAGAAATATTCCAATTATCTCTGCAGTAAGATATGCATGAGCTGCAGTCGTGCTTTCAGCCTGCGAGCTTAATGATGAGCTTCAAAAAAACAAAAAAAACAACAACCCACAACTCGCTCACCAGCGTAGAGGATCCTGCTGATCATCCCAGGGAAAACCATAAGGAACATAGGCAGCAGTTTTAGGTAGCCACATAGGATACAGCCTGCTTTCACATGAGATAAATTCTTTGCTGAGAGGCAGCGCTGGACAATCACCTACAGATGGGAAAAGATCAGTAGAACCATGATACAATCAGTGGTAAATGGATGGGAAAATGGTTGAAGTGGGCTTCACAGTACTCTCTCCATTTCAGGTTCCACTCAAAATATTTGCAGATTAAATACACCACTCAATCCTGAGAAGCCAATCAGACATGCTTGATGATAAGTATTCTCTTGTGTTAACTGAGCAGGGATAAAGGGACGCTGATCATAATGTGTTCATGTGTGTACTGGATGTCAAGATTAGTTCTTCATTGAGGTCCAGCATCAGTCTGTCTCTTTATCTTATCTCAGTCTATGGGAGTGCATTAAGGTCTAACTAACAGCAGGCCAGCACAGATTGCTTGAGTGCTGTCATAACACATAAATGTGTGTACAAATGCACAAGAATCAGTTGAATGAGTCTGTGTGTGTGTGTGTGTGTGTGTGTGTGTGTGTGTGTGTGTGTGTGTGTGTGTGTGTGTGTGTGTGTGTGTGTGTGTGTGTGTGGGCTTGTTTTACTATATTCATGGGGTCTGCAGACTGGGAGCCCACTATACTTGTGGGGTCAGACGGCTTTGTGGGGGTCAAAATGCTGGACCCCAAAAAGTTGAAATGGTTGTTGGAGGGTTGAGGGAGCTATTTGTATATTTTCCTATATTGCTACATATAGCAACCTTAGCATTAACAGCTCTTTACTTACCAGTCTAGAAGAAACATTGCAAGTTCAGCATCAAACTTTATTCCTTTACTCATCAAAAACTATCTCCAGTGGTAGAAAGCAATGCCAATGTTAACTCTTGTCTCTATCACATCCTTTCTCCTACTGAAGTTAGCACGCTAACCAGCTAGCCCCGGCCTGTCTGAAAACGTAGCGCTGCTCAGAGGGCATATTATAACCTTTTGTTTTCTAAACGCAATAATGGCAGAAGCTTTTGTCAAGTCTCACCACCACCTGCTCCCGGCAAGAAACCACATTTGGCGGCAGAGAAAACTTACAAATAGCCTTTTTAAGACTTGATTTTAGGATTAGAATTAGGTTCAAGTTAGAGGTAGGGTTGTGGTTGGACATTCAGTTGTGATGGTTAAGGTCAAGGTAGGGGCCGCGCCAGGGAATACATTATGTCAGTGACAGGTCCCCATGAATGCATTAAAACTCCTGCTCATACTCGTGTTTTGTAATAAATGCCACTGACTCAGCACAAGTATTGCATGCTCACTATCTCAATGGCCCCACAGTGTTGTTGTCCATTTGCTTGACTGACCTGATCAGTGCACCAGTACCACAAGGCCTGAATGGTGAGTCCAAACACCAGGCCAGGCCATGGCAGGTCTCCTGTAATTGCATTCCTAAAAATATGGAAGGAGTCTGCCCGAGGCTCGTAGCAGCTTGCACTGATGTTAGCTGTGATGGAAGGGATGGCCTCCATGTAGAGCTCCTGGAAACGTCCGTAGCCTCCCACCTCATGGAAAGCTGAAGAAGTGTGTACAGGTTAGACTAACTTGCAGTGATTTTTACTCTTCAGCAGTTTTCTATGACAAACAGGATTTTTCCTGTCATAAAAAGTAATTTTTAAAAAAGAGACACATTACCAAAGCCCATAAGGATGAATGATCCAACAATCATGATGATGGTCTGTAAGGTGTCCGTGTAGATCACTGCAGCCAGTCCACCTGAGACACAGTATGTGATGTTGTCAAGCTAGAAAAGCTTAATTCAAAATCAACACTTTTTATTGCCACTAATGTACGTAACTGAATTTAATGGAGAAAATAAAATCAAGTAATGTTTGTACATGATCCAATTCATCTCGCCAAATTAGTTAGTCAGTGTAAAGTGGTGTTATGTAAGTTGTTGTGAGTGCTTTTTTCCTGTAAAGCTATAAAGTTCAGGTGTGGATGCTTTATTACAGAACAGCAACAGAAGGCCAGTTCCTGCTTATCGCAGTCCATGGGTGATTAACCATAATAACACTCCACCGATAAACTGGCCAGGGGGAGAGAGTATGTGTATCCACATACATTTGGCCTCACCTTTACCCCCTGTCATGATCCCATTCATAAAGTAGATAAGACTGGCCATCTTCTGGCTTTAGTTTATGAGTAAAATGTCGATCTATGAATTCAGTGGAAAAGGAACAGAGTGCATCCTTGGTGGACAAACCTGTGACGGTGTACAACGCGGTAATCAGTAGTAGCATGACAACAGCGAGGTAGATATTTAACCCAAGAGCCTGGTTGATAAAAATGGCGCCAGAGAACATGTCTGCCTGAGTGGAGCAAAGAGGAAAAAACACACCACTTCACTCAATAACGTCCAGTATGAGCACAATGACGAAATAAAAATCTGGCATGTGAGAGATGCTGAGGCTGAGGGTTAAGATGTGATGTCACAGCGACTTACTGAGATCTTAGTGAAAACATACAGGAATAGGGACAGCACAGAGAGATAGATTCGAATACGCTGTCCTCCAAACCTCTTCTTCAGGTACTCAGGCATGGTGACCACCTAAACACAACCACAAATCATGAGAGTTTTAAACTAATATTGCTGTTGTTATGAAAATGGCATGTTATGGCATGTGTGTTCTGTTTACCCCAGCTTTAATGTAGATGGGCACAAAGAGCCATCCCAGAATGACGACCACAATAAGAGCCTGAAACACACAGACACACAGCACACAAACACCCACACACACACACACACACACACACACACACACACACACACACACACACACACACACACACACACACAAGGACACAAACAATAAATAATCAATGCCACCTTTCACTTAAAGTGTCTCCTATAAAGATAAAGCTCTGTTGCTCTGTCCTCCGCAGGGTGAAATTCACATGATAATGTACAGACTTATCAGATCACCTGACAGTAACAACTGATAATATCTGTGTCACAGGTTAGAAACACATTTGTGTAAGAAGTGATAATGTTTTAATTGGCACATCAGATGCACTTTACTCACGTTCCATTCAAATCCACCAATCGCTATTCCTGAAGCTGCAGCAGTCCCTGCGATTCCTACAAAGTGGCCACTGCCAATGTTGCTGGCAAAGAGTGATGCTCCGATCTGTGGAGTGCATAGATAGTAGAATCTGTCAGTGATGAGGGTGCATCATTTCCAAAATTGTCACAAGTTTGTTTGGAGTGCATTTGATAACAAGAAAGGCAACAAATGGATAAAAAAAAAGAATTACAGGGTGGATTGAGGATTCCAGATGACTGCACTATCAGTGTAATAAAAATACTTGATGATTTGCACACCTAATTACTCTAACAAAACCTGATTTTACTGTAGTATTGAAGTACTGTCATAATAACACTACATCTACTGTAGATTGGAATTATTATAATCTTAATCTTAACAATCATGGAAGTGACTCTACCCACCGGCCACCACACCATACTCCTCCCTGCCAGGAAGAAGCCACCGACAGTGGCTCGGTTGGTGCGAACCATAGCCTGCAACAGGAGAAGTGAACATTTCAGACAATGGAGAAATGCATTTGTGAAAAACAGCTACAGATAGTCGCACACTACTTCAAAACTCACTCACTGCATATTTGTTAATGACCACATTTTATTTGATACACAGCTGCTGCAACAGAATCATTGCACGTATACATCTCAAAAAGTAGCATTACTAGCATTAATAAATGGATGCAATTTAACAAAACACGTGCATTCTGAAGTGTAAAAATCTTCTGATCTGCTATAAAACAGTCAGGTGTTGTCATTGCACAATATCAGTCCACTCCCAGTCCTGTAAAGGTGTTAAAAAAAAGGACTTCGTGGCTAAAAGTGAGATGCATTTTATAATGATTATTTTGACTTCTCCAACATATAATAATAAGTATTAGATTTTCCATTGTGGCTCAAATACAGACAAAACGTCTTTTGATTTCATGGAATGAAATAAAATAACGGTTCAACTCTCACAGCTTTGAAGCTGGTGACAAGTTAACTATTCACAGGCAAGAAGAGCTTAAAGAATGGCTGCCAAAAATACTGGACAACTCACCCATACTCCGACAGCCAGGACAACCACAAAGTAAATCACAATGACGGAGATATCTGCTGGATTGTTAAGGGCCACGGTGGCATTGTTGGTTCTTGCATTGCTCCTTATGAGGGAGAATCCAAAGTAATCGTTAGACATTTTCCTGTGAGGGTGACCAGAGTGCAGAAGTGCTGCTGGAGTTGCTCCTCTGAAACACCTGCTTTTATACTGCCTCTGAATATGTGTGTGTTGTGTGGTTTTGTGTTGTGTGTCCTTGTGATGTGCTGTGTGTGTGGGGGATTAAGATGGGAGGTTGTTGGGGTGTGTGGTTTTGCTGTGTATGTGTTTGTGTGTGTGTGTGTGTGTGTGTGTGTGTGTGTGTGTAAGAGAGACAGCAAGTGAGAGAGTGCGTTTATCTAATAAATAGAAATTGTGTTTGGTTGTAAGTGTATTTAGATGCACTGCTACAAGACTGTGGATCTGACAATGAAATGTGTAAAAATGTGTAACTTTAAGCAAATAACATTGTTAATCATCAACCTACAGGGAAATACCTCATGTGTTCCTTTAAAACAAAGAACCTTCAGATAAACTCCATCAGCACTGCAGATCATTTCAGTTCGGTTCAGTTCAAACATATATGATGACAGATATAACACAGAAACAACACGACTAAAGCAGTGTCCTGTAGAAAAACAGAATAGAAAAAAGAAAACCTTTTTTTTTTTTTAAATCCTACTTTAAAAACAAAACTGATTCACTGCCTTCTGAGACAAATAAGACTTGGTCCCCCCCCCCCCCAACTTAAATTCTAAGTCCTACCAACAAGGAAATATTTTCACATTTACTGTAAGTACAAAAAGCACTTAACCCCCGACTTCAGGGAACACTAAACATCTGTCATACAATTGAGTGTTTGCGTGTTAATTATTAGTCAAAAGGCTGAAGTTTGAGGGAAGGCTTTAACAGAAAATAGAAGACAACCATCTTCATATTTTTAAAATACATTGTCAGTATATAGTTTACAGTCATGCCAGCAAACACTGAAACACAGGGGCACATTCGATACAAAAGTAACATCAAAGAAACAAAATAACATATCAACAAGGAAAAACAAACAAAAACAACAACAATAAAGACACTGGGACCAGGTCAATTCTGCACCTCTGCTTATGTTAAAGCAGGTGCAAAAAAGGGATAGAACTTGTGTAATAAGACTTTTGAATAACGGAAAATATCTGTAACTCTAAATGTCGATCTTCAGTAGTACAACTGCCATTACGTTATATTCCCTTCAAACATTTGTGATTCCTGTGTGGGAACATTATGATCTGAACAAGTATAAAGAAAGTATTATCATCAGCCACTAGGTGTCTCTATAGGACAGTGAAACTTATCCAGAAGCCAGGTGACTATGAGCTCGTACATGAAGCACAGATATTTAAGGGTATATATTGTGTCACTCACTGTTAATTTAATCAATTAATATGTTAATTTAACAAACCATACAATAGTGTTAAAGCCTGTACATAGTCCACCCAAGCTGGTGTTTTCACATATGTGGCATGATTAGACCTCTTCTCAAGACTGTGTTCAGACTGACAGCTCTCTCACTCTCCTGTTAGCTTTAAATTCCCGAACCCAGCTTCAGCGTGACCAGAGGTCTGACCAGCCTTTAGAAACATTGTGTGGGTGTGCGGGAGCTTTAACAAAATCTTTGCAGGAAAACACCAGTGAAACAGTGTAACTATACGTGGCCCCAAGTACTGTCAAGGAAAAACTAAATTTAAGATTGTGAAGGTTTTGTTGTAAACAAAAATCCAATAGAAAAGAAAAGCCACCTTATTTATATTTTCATAATTTTAACTGAGAGTGATGATCAATATTTTAGTTTCTATTTGTACATATGGAGGTTTTATAGGTTGTATAGCAGTTGTTGATAGAAAGGGCAAACGTCCACTGAGCGGGGCCACGTGAGACATTTTCTGTCACAAAATACATGATCATAGATTGGGGGCCTTTAAAATTAAAAAACCCATACTGGCTGATTATACAAAAGCAAAGCAAAAATGGCGTCATAGTTAGTGCTTCAGACACCCTAATTATAACAAACTGTAATTAAGAGAGTAATTAAGTTTGTTTATTTAAAGGATTTAAATGAATGTAATTGAAACTTGTTATTAAATGGCCTTGAGCAACCGTCACCCAAAAACAATTTCTCACCACCTATGCCCCCCAGTGTTTCCGGACTGCTTTGACCCAGTGAATTGCTGCTTGGAGCTTTATCTATCATTATAATGCTGACATCCATGTCCAAGGTTACTGTGCTCCGTCACCACTGAAGCTGTGGGGAAAGTGCAGAGGAGGAGGAGGAACCAGGCGAGGAAGTGGAGAGGAAAGCTACTGGCAATATGATTAATGATGTAGTAGAAAGATAAAAATCATAGGTATAATAAACATGGGATGATTTCATGTTTGTGACTGGATTTACAAGGTATTATAGGTTATACTTAGAGGCAAATATTTTCATTGTTTAGATTTTTTAAATGTAATGGCCTAATTTTAGGACATTAGATTCCTACAGTCATAAATTGATTAATTTTTGACAGAGCAGAGTTATCTTGCTGTAAAAGCATAAATCATAGAGAGTGAAAAGGCAGCCAAAGCTTAAACATTTTCATCTGTGTTATTATTATTATTTCATATTAAAAAGTGTGAATAAAGGGGAAAAAACTAAACCATTACTTTGACTTCTGCCACCACAGTGTTCTACCGAAATGCAACAGCGTGGATGGCACGGAGAGGAAGACATGTAAGGGAGTGAGATGAGGGAGTTATCAGACTGGTACTGTTACAAATGGCTGCTTGAAATCTCTAAATGGGGACAATCAATATTCACTTGAATGAAAATCAATCACTGGAATGAGGCCAGTGCTCCATGGGGATTAAGGCTCGGTCACACCCGCTGATTTCAGTGCTGATTTTAAACCCAAGAGGAGGCTTTGGCCTTCTCTAACAGCTCCAGACAAGCCAACATTTTCTCAGACGTGTCTGACTTTATGTGGCCCAGTTTACTTCTGTGTTCTCCAAGACTGAAATCTGAGCATAAACCTGGCAGGAGCCTGTTGGTGCTTAAAGTGCCACAGAGCCGATCACATCCCAGGGCAGCAAGACCGCAAACAAACACTGCTGATTAGTGCGAGGAATTGATATCTTGCAGTCCATTCCCCATATATGGTAGTCTATATAAAAGTGTGGGAAAATACTGTAGTTGTCTTTGGCACACAGAGCAGAGATTGAGTGTCCTGTGGTCAGGACAGACAGAGTTAACGCCTCCCTGCATATACATGTATGTACGATTCAGGACTCTCTGGCAGAGGGGCCCATGTGCTCAACCAGACAAACAAACCCACAGGCTGGGCCGCAGAAGACAGACTTATGGACAATATTTGTCTTGTGACTTTGGCACCACAAGTTAATGCTTCATATTGCCCTATGTCCATGTTTCAGTTTCAAAAATCAGAGCGCAAAGCCACAAAATCTATTCCCAGCTACCGAGTTTGTTTTCCAGAAATATTCATAGCTTGTGATTGCACTGATGTGTATCCATCTCTCATGTCACTATCACATAAACACCTCACCCAGAAGTTTAATAATGCACCTTTCAAAGATCAAAGATTCGTGGCAGCTGTAGTCGATGAGTTTGATAATTGTTCAAATGAAAATGTGGTTAAAGTGTATCAGTGAGAACCCTTTTATTGTAGAATATGGGCAGAATATTGTGTTTTATTTCTATTTTAGAAAGTCAATTAAAAGACACCAATGTCAATCAATGGAGAACACATTGTGGAGAGGAGTAGTCATTGGCCTGGAAGTGGAACATAACATTTATATGGTTATTCTAATGTGAGTGAATGTATTCAAGATTCTTCTTGATTTTAGTGACACCCCTGGTGATAAGCTGTCTCTACTACATACACTACTCCAGCATACAGTATTACAGTAATAAATTTCAATCAATCACTGGTATAAAAACAACATAGTCATTGTCTGTCACTACTTTGAATGCATGTCTTCTATGGAAGGCAGCAAGGATATTTAATAGTTTTTGTACAGCTGTGACTGTTTAATAAAAAATGCATAAACATCCTAAAAATCCAAAAAATGTTTATTTCTTTGTTTGTCTTGTGACAAAGTTTTCTGATGCACGAAAGGCATCAAAAAAATCTTAGTTTTTAGGGTGGTGTTGTTGTTGACCTGTATGCTTTTTAGAGCATCAGCAACAATAATTCATATACAATGGATCCATATATTTAATTAATATAATGATACTTCATAAACTAGGTATTAAATAAAAAGTATAAATTGTTAGTGGCCCCTGTGCCTATATGGATGAATTAACCTGCAGCTGGAGGTAAATTTGTACTGTCAACCAGTCTGGTTGACAAGTCTGGTTAGGATTTAGCCATTTTTTCATAAATGTTTGACACACAAATGAAAAAATGCAAAAGAGCAGGGCTGAACAGGTAACTACCAATAAAGCTTGTAGTTCACATACTGAATTAAGACAGCTCACTGCCACAGTGGTAGATGATTATCAGTAGATTGACTAAATTATGGACTTATGCTTGGTGCAGTCAATGAAGAGTAAAGAAGATCGCGGCAGAGTTCACTTGTGGGTCAGCATAATTCACGTGCAGTAGTTCAAGAGTTGTAATCACAACACTATCTCTGGGCAGAGTTCCATATTCTGTAACAGAGGGGCATTGTAACCACAAGTCAATGACAAAGACTGAGGGGCTTTCACACAGGGTGCTGTTGATGTCATGCAGGGTAGTAGACACGGGTGAAGGGAGCGCTTTAAGGTGATCAGCTGGAACTTTCACACGGGCCCTGAAGCAGTCATTAGTGGCTCCCCAGTACATGAAGACCACAGCGCCTCCCCTCACCCCTCCTATGATCACACTGGGATATGGTTAGCAGAAGTGTGGGAGCTGGAACTCAGCAGATGTCATTGAGCATCTAATGCCTTCCTTCAACTCCCAGTGGTTCCTTCTGACCCTCAGATCCTTCATTAACGAATAGCTACTCTCCTTCAACAGTTATTGTTAGTTTCAAATGTAAAACTGTCTGCTGTGAATCAATATATAAATCTGACTGATTTAGTAATCTGATGTTAGCAAGGCTGTCAAGTTATCAAGATTTATTC